AGTTCTTTCCTTCTGCCTCCTGGGCAGGCGCCTTTGATCACTGCCCCCTACAAAACCTTGTTTAATTTCAAGATGTCATGGCTTCCAAAAACAACTCTGTGAAGGAGGAGAGGATGCTTGGGGAGGTCCTTCATGTATCTTATAGCTGGAAAGAACTGTTTCCCCACCTGGCATTCAAACTCCTCCAGGTTCTATCATTGATATCATTTTTCCTTAGACAAGGGTCCCTCTAAGAAGCATTCAACTGTGACCTCTGAACAAAGCGTCTCCCTCTTGATATTTTTAGCAAAAGCTTTGGGCCTGATTTTTGCATCTAAAACTCTTTGGGCATGCCAGTAAATAATTTTTAAAATTTAGCATGAACGTGAAAAGCTGAGTTCACTAGAGCAATGCAAACCAAAAGCGAATGCTCCAGCAGTCATCCAAGCTCTTCTTCCATAGGATCATTTATCAATCAAACAAGATGATGAAAGAAGTGAAAGATGGCCTTGCTCGATGGTCCTGCCCATAATCATCATCCAGGGTGTCCAGAGGCTATGAAACACAACACAGAAATGCATTCATTTTCATAGGATCAGATGGGAGACGTGCAGGCTGGTGGCATAAATCTGATGAAGAACGCATTGAGCTGCTTCTGCAAATCAAAACATGAGGGGATTTCAAGAAAATGAGATTCAACTTCTTGGATTCCAGTCAGTACAAGACACATAATTCATAGGGCCTGCACAAAAGAAAAAATGTGGGGCCTTTTTTCTAAAATTATGAAGAATTTCAAGACAGCTATAGCAGACTATTAAACCAAGCAGAGAGTTCTTTTGAGCATGGGGACCTGTGTGACAGCACAGGTCACACACCCATGAAGCCAGCCCTGGCTCCCATGGAGAACAAGGTAATTATTTTTACTGATGTGACAAAACATCAGAATAATCTGAACTTGACGCTGCTGGACAGGTGAGAACTGTTCATTTCTTCACAGGAGTGCCGACATTCCCACTGAGCTAGGCATGTCAATTAAGCAAATGGAAACATTTAGGGACTCCATTTATCTCCCATGGCTGAGCCGCCCTGACCTTGCTGGAATGGGAACCTAGCCCCGTAATAAGAGTAGGCACCCAGCATTGTACGATTACTCACAGAATGTCGTAGCCGTGAAGCTGCACTTCCAGAACTCACTCATGTGTTCTGACGAGTAAGAATGCTTCTTTCAGCTTATGCATCTTTTTTTGCTAAGAATGCAAACCTTAGAAAGTGTTGTGTGACAGATGACTGGATAAAGATGTGATATCTATATATATATATAGATATATATATAGGAATATTGTTCAGCCATAAAAAAAAAAAGAATGAAATAATGCCATTTGCAGCAACATGGATTAAATTAGGGGTTGGGGATTAACAGACACTTTACTATATATAAGATAGATAAAAAACAAGGACCTACTGTATACACAGGGAACTATATTCAATTTCTTATAATACCATATAATGGAAAAGAAAATATATATGTGTATGTATAGGTATAACTGAATCACTTTGCTGTACACCTGAAACTAACATTGTAAATCAACTACACTTCAAAAAAAAATTTTTTTAGGAAAAAAACCAAAACAGAGTGATGTGATGGAAAGAACTACCTTAGAAAAATGGTCGTCAGGCAAGACCGACCCTGGGAACAGCATTCAGAGCACTGGACCAGCCAGTGCAAAGGCTGAGCAGGAAACGAGCTTGTTTGACAGGAAGAAGAAAGGCTCGGGATGGGAAACAGGGACGGGAGAAAAAATGGTGAGAGATGAAGCTGGAGGCCCGCTCCCGTCAGCAGGGAGCAGATAATAGCAATGGGCGCGTAACAAAAGCCTCCCACTCGCCACACTAACGACCAAAATCTCCAACTGAGAAGGCTACAATAAAACGCGCCATGGGCGATTTAGAAGCTACCATCCCTTCCCTTGGGGCCCGTCCTTCAGGCCGTTGACAGGTTCATTTTATTGGCCCTTTACCGCCATCTGTTGGAGACATTCGGTATGCCACGCCGTGGTCAACACCCCGCCTTAAGGCAGGCATATACTGGACACTCCGGGTGGGACGCCGCTGTTCAAGGCCTTACCAAAGCCCTCCGAATTCCTACTGGTGACCTAAACCAGATTCAGATCAAGGCTCACAATGCACTTTACAAGGTACACAAAGAGATGGGAATTAGAACAGGACACTTTTTACCCAACGGGCTGGCCTCACTGAATGCCAGAACACGCTTTTCTTACAGCCCCTACTAAAATTAAAAAAATAGTGCCTGGTCGTCGAATAGCGCCTGGGTCATGCCTGCCCACAATCCCTCCCATGCTCAGTTCTCCCTCTTCCGGGCACCTGCACCTTAGCAAAACGCTCTGGAGACACTCCTGTTGCCTGTTCTTGCCATCAAAGGTAACACCTAGCCCTGATTTCCCCTCCTCCGGACCCCCCCTATACCTATTCCCTCTCTCTCCCGCCGCCTTCCAGTACTCCAATCAAGATGGTGGACAGAAGACAGATAATAGGGTGGGATTCTTTTGTTATCAAATGTTTCTCCCTCCCCCCACCGCCCCAAGTGTGCTGATTTGGATTCCTGATGATCCTGATGATTCCGCTACTCCCTTCCCCACCCCACCTGGACCCCAAGTTCATAAACTGCAGGAGCCTTCTGTTGGGGGCTCCCCCAGCGCTGAGACCATCCCAGGTGCTGATCCACCTGCCCTAATGGTGCTGTTCCAGGGGGAAAATCCAAGGGGTAGATGTCAGTGCTTCTTCAGTTTAGCCTCTTGCTTCTACTATCCAAGCTTGACTGTTACTGCAATTTGGACTTCTCTTAACTGGCTCCTCTGACACCTGGTGGCTCTGCCCTCTCTCCAGCCCAGCTGAGCTCCTGACGGGACAGTGGTTAAGAGTGAACTTACAAATTTTACTTACAAACCAGAAACAGGCGCACGGACATAGAAAACAAACTGTGGTTACCGGGGGAAACGGGTAGAGAGAGACAGATTAAGAGTTTGGCGTTAACATATACACATTACTATATATAAAATAGATAAACAACAAGGACCTACTGTATAGCAAGAAGTGGGGGAAAGGCACACATAGTAAAAGGGTTAATGGGATTTATCTGATTTTTTAAATTATATTTGGTTAAAGTAATAGTATCATTATATATATTTATATATCATTAAACAGTATCATTAATAGTATTAATAGTATCATGAAATATATATATATATGCCAGTCCAGTCACAGTGAATGTTAAGACTTCGGCTGAAAATTCTGGGGCAGAGATGCATTCTTTCCAGCAGGACATGAACAAGGAATCCAAACAGCACAGGAGATGCTGGCAGTCACACTGGGACCACAAGGAGCAAGAAAAAACACTCTGGAGAACAAAGTAGAGAAACAGAAACTAGGTCCTCGGTGTCATCACTTGATTCTGGATGAAGCCTTACCCCGCCTAGAATATTTATTTACCTGAGCCCTTTATTGTGTAGGCCAATTGGAGTTGGGTGTTTTGTTACCTGTCACCAGTCTCCTAACACACAGAGTGGATCTGAGAGGGACCAGAAGCTCTGGGTGGCAGCCTGGGTCCCCAGGGAAGCCCACTCGGAGACAGACTGTAGGGTGCAGG